CAGTTGTATCCGGTTTTATCGTTTAGGCAACTATGCTTTTATTATCTGACAGTGCAGTTGGATTGTCTGATTTCATTGTTTAGGTAACTATGCTTTTATTATTTGTTATATAAAATTGTAGATTAATTCTGCAAACTACCGACTGTCACGTATTTGGGCCAGTACCCTGGAACGTTTTAGAAACTATAATTTCTGCCACAAGATGGCACTGTATGTCCATATGGTTTCAGATACATGTACATTAGACCTTCTACTCGAAAGGAGAGAAGCATGACTCACATACACGTGTTTTTGATTATATAAACAAACGGGGAACTAAATGTTTCCGAATGGCGTGAGGTAGTTGTTTATTGTAAGTAGAAGTTTTATATGCGCTAAAGCGTTGAGTATTTCGCTTTACAGTTGTTTTTTAGAAAATAATAGACGTGAATTCTTTCTGTTTTTACCGTTGCAATGTCGAAGCGTCGAAAATGTTTAACAGAGCATGAAATAGCAGAAATGATGCAAAATATTTCAGATATTGATTCTGAAAGATTAACTGAAAGACATTTTTCAAAACTTTGTTCAGAAGAGACTGACGATGCCTCGTTTGTTCACATTCCCGGAAAAATCCTCCAAAACGGTAAATGAGTTATTACGAGTTCAAGGAATGTAACGTAGGACTGTGTGTAGATCCCTGTTTTCGAATTTTTCATACCAAAAGAGAATTTTAAGTAATATATTTAGTTTTCAGATGTATAATGTTAAAAGTCATAAAATGGTGAGTAATTAAAATAAAATGTGTAAAATATGCATTTTAACAAGAAATAAGATAATTAAAGTATATATATAAAAATATAAAGCATAAGCGGTTTAAATACTCTATAGAGCATTATTAAACAATGTGTTGATACTTCGGAAATTTCATGGTTAGGCTTAGTAGCAAAAAAGCCCCCGGCCCTGGAGAGATGCTTGCGGAAGACACTGCCGGCCTCCGCGATAAGCGCGCGTTCGGCTCGAAGGGGTTAAATTTTGTTATATTTCGTAAAATTTTAACGAATTTTTGTTTAACAAAGTAAAGGATTTCAAAGTGAGCAGCATTGGCAACGTTGTACAGAAAAAAACATTTTTATCTCAAGCACGTGAGTCTGTATCAAAAATTCTAAAGATATGCTCAATTTAAAATTATTTTGTGATGCTGCTCTTGAACTGAATTTTATGGTTTAAGTGCAAAGAATACGATTTTTAATAAATAATGGTAACACACAAAATATTTAAAAAAAAAGCCCCTTTGGACAATTTAAAATTTGAAACCTTTCTGATTTTTTAAAGGTATTTTTTGGGGGGTATTAGGGTCATTTTATTGGCAATTTTTACAGGAAAGAGCAGAAAATCAAATCAAGGTCTTGTACTTCATATTAAAGAGTAAATTTTAAATCTCCATAATTTAAGGGGTATCAGCAACCCCTATACCGACGATGTTAAATTGGCCATTTTCGATGTACTTTTTCTCAAAATCTGCTGTAGATATACTCTTGAAATTTTTTCGATAATTAAAGTATACCTATCTGATTATACTGAAATGAGCTTTTGAAACATTTTTAATTTTAGAGTAATTTACAGAATATTTTGTTAGGCATAGTAAAATTTAGTACTTTTCTCACATAAAAGAATTTTTTTTAAATTGTTTTTCTTAGTTTATCACAAAAAGCTTATTTCAGCAAATATTAGGAGACCTAATAAATAAGCCATAAAAGTTTTAGATACCTGTGAGTAGTTCCTGAGAAAAGGTACATCGAGTATAAAAAAAATCACGTTTGGAGAAAAACACGTTTTTATGTAAAAATCCTGATTGATCAAAGCATTCAAATGATAAATTAAAACTAGATTTCTTACAGTTCTAATTTTCATAGAGATTAAAGAACGGTATTTTTAGAAAGTTAAAAGTGTAGAGAAATTTGAAAATGCAAAAATCCGAAATCAAAATTTTTTGAAGATTTTTGGGTTCCAACACCCCTTAATAAAATTTCTTGAGGCATATTTAAAGTAGTGAATATGCCGGCCATGTATGTCCCAGCCTCCTGGAAAAGGTTAACTGGACGTACATGAGTATATTAGTGATCTGTTGATGTGTTGAGATTTAGTGATAATAATTCTTATGTTGGATCTAGGGCAGAGAAGGTGATTGAGTTATACATCATGCCTTGTTCAGTTTGCAAATTGTAGTTGCTTAAACTTGGATTGTGAAGTAGTTGCCTATCCAGTGTTTGCTTGATCTGTAATGATGGACAAACATATGGCACTGTCATGAATCTGATCATCCATCCATACTTGAGTGGATTACATATCTTACTCAGGTCAGATACAGGATGTTACTGCATGATCCATTAGCTGTGCTGTATATCTTCTTGTGGTACAACATATTGCTGGAATTTCACTTCTGCTCAGCACATTTAGAAAAATTTAGAAACTGTATTTTTCCTTCATAGCATTATGTAGGCGATGCTGTATATGACTTGTACCAAATTGTAATTTATTCGTCTGGTAGGAAGGCTTCATCATATCCTATTTATTATTCAGTTACAGTCCTTTTTTTTTTTTTTTTTTTTTTTTTTTTTTTTTAAGTGGTGTTTTCTTTGTGATGTAGTTTCAGCTGTATTTAATTTATTTATTTAAGTACATTTTTCTCTTCAAGTTTTGTCACTACAAAGTAAAGTTGCATCTGGCTCAACCTGAATATCCAGCTTTTAATGTTTATTTATTTATGCTTTATAATCCTTTGATGTGAATTCAGCTTCTATAATGGGCTCCAGTTGCCATAAAAAGTTCCCATGTTTTGTCTTTCAAAGCTTAGTATATTTAACTTCAGTTTGTGACTTCTAGTAACATAGATATGATATTGGGATCTTTTCCAAATCAAATGTAGTTTCTGAGAATGATTTGATTGCTCAATTTTCAGATGGGCTGTTTCAGACAAAATTAAAAGTGGAGATGAATGATAATTGAGAGAAAGTGAATATAATGAAAACTGAAATTAATATTGATTTAAGGATAGTTCAGTTTAGATAAAAAATACAGTATTTGCTCTTTTTACCTTTTTAGTCAGTTTTTAAGATGGCAGTTATATAAGTTATGCATCATTCTAAATTTTAGTGTATCATTGTTTTATTTTGATATCATTAAAAAGTACTGCAATATTATTGCATTTTATTGTGGATGAAATTCCAGGATTAATATACTTCATCATTATACATCTGGCAAACTGCATGGTCATTCTAAAGATTTAGTAGTAAAAATGGCATATATTTGTCTCTTGTCACTTTCTTACCCTGTTCTCTGTAGATAGCTATTTGAAAACCATTTATGTGTTGCTCTGTATTTAAGTCTAAGGTTTAGAATGTTACCTAAAAAATGTATTATTATAATATTTTTTAAATTAATGTCATTTAGTAAAAGGAATATTAACATATAAATTACTGATTCTATCTATCTATTAGAGAAATTTGTGTATACAGGGAGTTCTAAATGTAGCTGATTAAAAAAAGAAATTCTCATTAGAGAGAAATGTGCAGCTATACATCACATATGTTGTGTAGTATTGGGGGTACAGGCTTCTTTTCGAAGAATATGGAGAATCTAGCTAGCTGATTTTCCTTTTGTAGCTGTTACTGGGTCCTAAAGTTGATCTTTTTGATATGTTAGAAAATTTAGTGGTAATTTAATACACAAGTTGTGTATCGGATAGAGTTGAACCAATAGGTTGTAAAAAATCAAGCAGTTAATGCTTGTTTGGCCTTATTGGCAAATAGTTGAAAAGTGAAGGATTGAAATAGCGATATAGTTGATGTTAAGCATTCTGAGAAGATTTTCTTGGCAACACAATCCTTTGCGTCTTGTTTTATAGATAACTGTCTTGATAAAAGGCATGTTAAAAGATACATAGCCATGCCTTTTAATCTTGCATTAGTTCTGTATGTTAAATAGGCATGTTGAAAAAATGCAAGTTTAGAATAAAATTATTAGAAAACAATTGCTAACATTTGTTCATTTAATTATTTAATGCATGTATTATTTATGAGGAGGGTAATGAATGACCTTTAAACCACTGACTGTTAATGCCAGCATGCATCCCTCTTAAAAAAAAAAAAAAAAGGCAGCTGTTAATGCTTCATAGTGCTAAATTAAGCAAGGGAAATATTTCATCTTGTTTGTGCGTCTGCTATTTTCCGTTTTGCTTTGACTAGATGTCTTATTTAAATGGCATGTGTATGGGGGTGATGAGGAAGGTAGCTAGTGTTTGTTCATCTATCGGCCGCAAGCAATTTTTCATTATTTCACCATGGTAGCTTTTTCGGAAGCCAGTGAGAAGTTGAAAGAAATTTGATATTTTGTTTGCTTAGGCTTTCATAGTTGTTTTTCATGTTTCAGTTCCACAGTTTGCAAACTATGCTTATTAAATTGTTTTACATTCAAGCAAGAATCATAGAATAAATAGAGAAAATGTTTATGCATTATATATCAGATTTGGAGTGGGAGGTTAGTACATTTGAATATTCATTATTTCATTTCAATAAACAAATAAATATTTCATTTTTTATTAAATGAGCTTAATCCATTTCAAAAGTGAATTCAATTGTAATCGTTAAATTGCGACTACAGTCTGTGGTTAATCCCTTTCGTCATAAATATCCTTTACACCCGGGAGGGGAGAAAGTTGCTTTTCTCGCATGACTGAAGCTGAGCGTAATTTGTGGTCATGATGACTGGAAAGTATTCGTTTCGCAGCGCATCGTTGCACACCTCCTATGGAATGAGAGGAAACACCCGTTTTTTGAGTTATGTTGCCTTTTTGAGATTTCTGGACTTCAGAAAACTGTAGATGAGTTTTCACTCGATTTTTGTCCTTGATCATGGCGATAGGCATTATTTTAAAAAATTGTCTCATTAGTAAGAAATCATTCTCACCTAAAGAAAAGGTAGTATGATCTTAAAAAAATCTGTGTAAGTAATCTGTGTTATGTTCGAATAAGCAATTTTTGTGTCGCAATTCTGAATTATTCTGATGCCATTTAAAATTTGTTTTCGCAATTAATGAAATATAACTTAAACTGCCTTTTTATGGCAGATAACTTTAACTGCTGTTTTATATCAAGTTTTTTGTAAATCTAAAAAGTCAAGAAAATATTACCTAAATTTCATTAATTAGAGACACTTAAATGAAGTGTCAAGAACTTTTGAAAGCAAAAATATCTGTAGTAAATCTGTATCGAAGTTTGAAGCAATTGGGGAAAAAAAAAAAAAAAAAATGCCAGTACTTCTGTTTGATCTAATTACCTAAATAACGAACAGTTTTATTTATGAGATACTGTTGCAATCTCTACACTTAATTATATGCTTTCTGAAGTGCCTTTGACATTTAATCGCTTTTTATTTTTGATCTAGGTGGTGAAATAGAAAGCACGAGTTTTATTTATTTAATTTTTTGTATGCAGGCCAAGAAGCGCATGCATGCATCATTTGAAATCGCTCCGCCTCACTTTGCCCGAAAACAACTGGGAAAAACGAATCATTGCATGTTCTAAATATTTATGGATTTTTTTTATTTAATAAGACTGGAGTATAACTATTTTACTACTTGTGCTGTGCACATCAGATCCTGCTAAACTGTGTGCGTAGTATCTTAGGGTTCGGTGTATTTAATTTTTTGTTTCTGCGTTTGTATCAAGAGGGAACAATTTATTTTACTATGACGTCATTTTAAAACCGATGTATTTTCATTTTGGGAAGCAAGAATTAGATCGCATGGAGCAAGGAGGGTTGTGCGCCGTAGATGCGGCGTTTATTTTAGGATTTCGGGGCCTTCTACCCACTTCTAATATAACACTCAACACCTTGGCTAAGCTTGCTGATGCCACCTACAAGGCAGCCTGCCAAACGCGGCAAAAAATATCTGCTGGGGGAAAGACTGATATTTGGTTGTGTTAGTAACTAACTGTCTGAAGTGCTCAAGATCGTTTGGTTGGCTGCTGGAGTCTTAGTGCAATTGAATTTTGTCACTGTCGTATTAAATTTCGATGTTTTTAAATTTATAAAATTGATGAGAAGTAAAAAATGTTGTGTAAACATCAATGAAGGATTATTTATAATTTTTAATGATTTTTTCAAGTAATTTCTTGGCTGTAATTCGTTGAGTTTTATAGGATCCCGAGATCATCGTATGCTTTAAAATTTGTGCTTAACAATTACATGTGTATGGTTATATTAAATGTAATTTTTTGGTATAGTCATTAATAAAATTTTCATATTCCCCCTAATTGTACCAGTATCTATTAGCCTTTTCTTGGAATAGAAAAGTTTTCTATTAAAATTTTTCATTTACAATGAAAGGAAAACGAGTTGGAAATGGGAACAAAAAAGCCATGCTTGTTAGGAACATGGTCTAACAAATGCATAATGCAATCTTGTACAAGCTTCTTGCGTGGTTTTTCATCACGTCTTAGAGTACAGGACAGTGAATCCAGTTGTACGGATTTGCACGGTGTTTCATCAAGCCAGGCTGCAGAAGAGGACTGGTATGACATGCCAGCTCCGGATATGTCTGTAAATGGCAATTTTTTTTTAAATGTTTGTTTATTAGTGAAGTTTAGACTATTTGTGTGCTATATTTAAATGGGCTTTTGTTGCTAAATTAAGTCTAATTTTTTTATTTATTTTAAAATGTCTTAGAAAACTTAATTTTTTGCATGTGCAAATATTTAGTTTGACTTTGCTTGAGATATGTTATGAATGGAAATTTTAATGATTGAATTTCATTAATGTTTTCACCTTTTTCCAAAAGAGGGATTATTATTACTTAAAGTTGTTGCTCTTTTTAGTTAATAAAGCATGTTTTATTTACTATTATGTGTGTGTGGTGTATATGTATATATGCAAATTTATTTCTGAAAATTTTTCGGCAAACTTTTCTGCTAGTGCTGCTGATTCATTCATAAAAAGTAAGATGTATACTAATATTTTTTAACTTTTCAAATCAAATTCCTTTGAACTGTAGTCATGTCAAATTTTGCAGATATATATATACACACATGTAATTACTGTTTATTTCAAAATAATATGTATATACACTATTGAACTGATTGTTCACACACCCTGCCTCCCTATTTGTGTTATTTGCTATGGACTTGGCCATCGTCCGTGTTGGCTGTTTGCTGCTGCCATGAATTCCTGACGGTTGGTCTTTTACCGAAAACTGCTTTGCTACTACTGCACCTGTCCATGAATGACAAAATATTGCCCTTCTTGGAACTTCTTTGTGGATCGAATTGCTGGTTGGCGTTCTGTTTGGGCGACGTTTGAATTGATGCAGTCCCCAGCACCAGTCGACGAATCATGCTCCCGTCAAGCAAGCGTGGAAGATGATGAGGATGGACACCTTATTTATAGGACCGGGGACATACTTCAGGAACGATGTACTGAACTATCGTAAAAATATTTTTTTTTAGTTTCCAGTGATGTTTTCATAAGATCTTCGATTTGTATGTTCTGTTCTCTTGCCTAATAATTTCTGCAGAGGGTTATTACAACCGATTTAAAAAAATTCTCTTAATTTTTTTTCAGTATAATTAATTTAACGTATATTTTAACTCTTTAACTGGAATATATTCATTCAACAACTTGCTTAAAGCAAATGTTTATTCCAGCACTAAATTATATTTAATTCTATACTGTCTTTTTTATATGCAAACTTGTTATGAAACATGTAGGCAAAAAAGGGTTTAAAATCGGCATTTTTTATTTAGCTAATGATCTCATATGTCATATGATAGTAAAATTATTTGAATTTTTTATTTAAAATTAGTTTGACCACAGTAAGCCAGTGAAGAAATGTATATATATAAAAAATTTATCTGATTTCTAGAGACTTAATTAGGCTATCTAAACACTGTGTAAGTAAAAAATGTGCTGCTATGGTGTATGCTTATGATAGTTAAATTTAAAATGCATCATTTGCTCTGTATAAATGTCTTGGATATGAGAATACCAAAACTGTACTTTGAGACTTACAGTCTCCATTAATGTAGAGTGTCTTTGTCTCTTCAGTGACACATTTCTGAAATTTTAGGCTTTTCTGTATAAGTATGTTGACTATTGTATTCAGTACTGTTTTATTTACCCAATTTTAATTTTACAGATAAAATTATTGCTACTCTAGGAGAGGGCACATTTGGAAAAGTTGTGAAAGTCGTTGATTTAAATAGGTGAGACATTCTCTTGTGTATTTTGAATTGCATATTTGATGAAAGTTAATAGCTTCATTAAGTAATTTTATAGTTTTGTATGAGCTGTTGACTATGATTTGTTTCAATTTCGAGTATTTTACCTCTGCCCCGGTAAAATTTAATTACGCTTTTAATAAAAATATCTTCATACGTTTTCAATGTAGTAAAAGTAAACCTAGAATGTGTGCAGCAGAAACCTAGCAGTATGCTCAAATCTAGAAATTCAAATTTTTATCAAGTTGATGTATTTGTAAAACTGAGTTTAGTAAGAAAAAGTACGTACATTGAAATTTTTAATGAGCTTTTTTAGAATGTTTAGCCTACCAGCAGCCAAGTGGTACATATGCACTTTCATTGTTTTCCTCAAGTTTAATGTTTTTATAAGCCAGTTTCCATTAGAAAGTCATTCATAAAAGGCTCCCTCCCCTCAGGTAGGTAGCCTTAGTGTGCTTTGCCATAGTCAACAAAACCAAACCAATCTTAAAATGTTTAAGCAAGCATTATGAAGCAAGTAACTTAAGCATGGTAAAAATGTTTTTAAATATACAAGCTTAAAGGGATTTTTTATGATGTAATGTATGTGTGTAAGGATTTAGTGTTATAAATAATAATAAATAGTGTTATAAAAATTCAAATGGCAGTTAATGCAAAGTAAATGTGTATTTGTGGCATAAATAGATTATTTTTGTCAGAATTTGATGCTTTTAAAACTACGTTTTTCTATAGATTTAGATGCATGTTTCTTCTATGTTTATTCTACCCTTCACAGTGCTAAGGTTTTTATAATATTCTTAGCTTTATTGTATTTTGTAGTAAATGCAAAATTATTCAGTTACTTATTAATACTTTAGTACTAATTAATTTCTTAGCTACTTTATCATGTTTGGTAAGAGAAATTAAAAGTTGTATTTCAGTGGGAACCCTTGTATTGTGATATCTTAGAAAAGAAGGAAATGTGCATTTAAAAGTAAAGTATGTGGATGATTTATGGAGTCTGCTGTTGTTCCAGTTATTCCAAACAGCAGCTAATTTAATAAGGGTTTTTGAATAGGTAGTTTGTTTGAAACTTCATGAAATCTTGTTTTAAGCGCTCAATAGGACTTTAAAGTAATTTGAGTACTTCTTCCAAACTGTTTTTATTTATTTTTACACAGATATTTATGTGCAGGAAATAAAAAGCATTGTAACATGTGACACATGAAAATCAGCTCCAGTACTGGCAGATGCTGTCTTGGCTTGCTTCATTATTACAATTTTTGTAGACTGTCTTGTTAAGGATGTGTAGGGGGAACAATATTTCCTGCATCAGCCTGTAGAACAGGAGTTTTCAACCAGGGTGGGGATTTTCTCCTACTGGAGAATCTTGTATATTCATGGGATAAATGTTATCAGCTTTTTATTTAGTCAAAGTTTATAAACATGAAAACTACTGTTATTTAAATTTTAATATTTATCAACATTTTCTTTACTAAGGAAAATTAAGAAAATGTTTCTTTAATTTATTAAGCATGTTTAAAAACATTGTGTATGTGGTGCATATGAATGAAATAATGTGTATGTGAAGGAGTGGGGATTGATTTTACAGCAAAGGTGAAAGGTATGTGCATGAAACAAAAAAGGTTGAGAACCACTGCTGTAGAAGGATAAATTATCTGCTTAAATTGAGAATACTTGTAAGAGCTTTTTTAATTTCGAATTTTGTAAAGTTTGTCTTAAAGTTCTGTGTGTAATTAAAAAAAAATTGTAATGGGTATCTTCATGTAAAAAATTATTGTATGCTTTGATTATTAGTTGTGCATAAACAATTTGCTCTTAGCTTCAACGTTTTTAAGCAATGTAAGTTGTATAAAGTGTTTGGTAAGTAAAAAAATTAAGGATTGAAAGATGTTTGTATTAGGGGAAAATTAATTTAAATTTTCTTTATTTACTGCAGTGAATGTCCTGATGCCAGAGCAGCTGTGAAGATCATAAAAAATGTTGAAAAATATAGGGAGGCTGCTAAACTTGAGATAAATGTGTTGGAGAAACTTGCAGAAGTTGATCCAGAGTGCAAACAGTAAGTATTTTTATTTATTTCTATAAACACACTATAGTTGAGTTCAGTACATTGAAAGTATCTTTTTAGAGAGGTTTTAAAAATAGTATAAAATTAGGTATGTCAAAAGTGTGAAATAATTCTTGTTAAAAAGTAATGCATGCAAGAATTGGGTTAAACCTAAATTGCAGCTGGAGATTTGCTAATGCATTTATTTATTTTTGTATTTGTTTAGTTTATTTTGTATGTAACTTTTTAGCACCAATAAGAGCACGTTGTCATTATATAATATATATAATGATAACGTGCTCATATATTATATAATGCAAAGTTACATATGTTGGCATTTTTACCTATTTTGCTACTTAAAAAACATTGTAATACAATGAAAAATTAAAGAACATTTAAATTAATAAAGAAAAATTATTAAACATGACTGATAATATATATATTACATACTGGTGTAATTTAAAAATCACAAACTCCCTCGGTTCCTTTGCTGAACCATTGTTGCCAAAATCAGAACAATGCCAATTGGTCAAATTGACCGATGTGTGCTTATAAGTGTTAATGAATACTACAGCCCGCCCGTGCCCCCCCCCCAAAAAAGGATCTTTGTGAACTTTTGACACATTTTAAGCCGGTGATTTCTCACCATATTGTGGCAATTTTTTGCAGTTAGTGCACAAAAGCCACCTCAGCTATGTGGCAAACCAACCTATTTTTTGCCCTTTTCTAGTCTTAGAACGACTCTGATGTATGCCCTCAGCTCTCTAAATATTTTTGGCGAGAAACTCCACGCTGCCATATTACTATCTAAATTTTTTGTGTACATTTCAAACTTTAAGCCTAAAATGTCTCCAAAAATGCGGTTTTCGCACATGCAAAAAACATGTTTTGAAAACACAATTTCAGCTAAAATTCCGAAACAGAAACAAAAAATTTAGATAGCAAAAACGTAAAGTTTCTAACAGAAAATATTTCACAAGAATCCATGTACACAGCGATATATTTTAATTAAAAAAAATCAACGAATTGCACAATGTAAGCAACGAGCTAATCTACGAACTACGCACACCTCGCAATTGATTGTTGTTATGTTAATAAATTAACATAAATTAAAATAACAATCAATTTCAAAGAATGCCATGTGATTGTGAATTCATGTACACAGCATCCTGTTTAAACTTTAAAAAATCTATGAATTGCACGGTCTAGGCGCACAAATTAACCAAATAAACTAAATTACAAACAATTCAAAAAGCAATAACAACAAAAATTTATAGTAAAAAAACAGTGAACATAACATTCTACAAATTAAAAACAGTAAAATAAAATGTGCCTACCATAATTCCTGAATAAAATTTTACCAGTCACACAATGCCTGAACAAAAGTGCCATGGTTTTGCTATATTGCATGGTTTTCCAAGATTCAAAATTTCCAGAATTAACTTACTTCACCACACCAAAACCACAATCCAAATCTTAAACTCCACTGACAGCCACATACTTTACCAGCAACCATTTAACTGCAAATCCACACAAGAACTATCAGAAATTCCCTTCTTCGTCCGAGTTCTCATAGCAGCTCCGCATTTTGGACTCCGTTTTAAAAGTCACACAGAAATTTCAAAAATGCACTTCAATCTTCATAAACACACCAGTGAACAAAAGACTCGTTAACAACTCCAACATCTTACCTTTTAATACTAAATTTACTTTCCACACAATCTAAAATACACAACTGAAATCTTCCCACCAAGGCTATCATTGCAACATAGGCCATTTCAAAACACACGACACAAACCAACCAGCAATTAAACCACTCCAGGAAAAGATTTTATATGTCAACAGGGTTTCCATACAACACGCAATCACGCCAAAAACCAGGGCAAAACACATTGCCACATTAGGTGCATATAAAAGTAAAGCCCTAGTCTCTATTTTTTAAACCAGACCATAAATAAAGCTACAGCACACAATAAACTATCTGAAAGATTTTTATATTTATACCTGAGTGGCCTATAAATTCATACAAGGCTGGTGGATTGTCTAATGATGACCATTCTACAGAATCATTTGAATCCAGGCTTGAAATTCTTGATTAAAAAAAGTCCTAGGGAATCGTGTAATTTCATCATTCACTAGAATCATCATCGGTTAGTTCATTCTTGGAGGAATTAATTTGACAAACTATCTGTGCACAATTCTTAGTTAACACATTCTTTAACACTTTTGTGAACCAATTTAGGAATTTACTCTAAAAAAGGTCAGGTTATTGTAAAAAAAACTCAGCTTAACACACACACTTAAAAAATAGGTGGCAGTGATAATTTTGTCATTTCCTCTGCCTCATTAACAATCTTCTACAAAATGAGTTTATTCACACTTTTTAATGATTATTTGTGCAAAACAAGTTTAGTCTTTTCCCATATAAGATATGTAATGTAAATAAAGCACCATCACATTTGCCTCCCCCACAGCAAAAACTTCTGTAGTATTAAAAATTTTAGTGAATGAAAAAAAAAAAATTTTAAAGTTTTGTTTTGCTAGTAATGTTTTAGTATAAATTTCGTTTCTTTCTGTGTATGCCGATTTGTGTACAAGGCAATGGTAATTAATTTTTTACTTAACATAGCTGAGAAAGTCTAATTTTCCCCCCTATTTTTTAGCTTGTGTGTGAAGATGTTAGATTGGTTCGATTACCATGGCCATGTTTGCATCGTGTTTGAGTTGCTGGGAAGAAGTGTCTTTGATTTTTTGGTAATTTGTTTGAAATGTTTATAATACTTATAACTTATTTTCCTTAAAAATGTTAGTGTTTTAATTATGTAAATCTTTTATAGAAAAATAATTACTATTTTCCCTATCCTTTGGATCAAGTCCGACACATTGGCTATCAGCTGTGTTATTCAGTCAAATGTATGTATATTTTAAATGATAACATGCACAAATAATTTGCATTGATTTTCAAAAATTAGTGAAAAATCTGCGATTTATAAAATAATTATTTATTTCAGTTTTACATGACCATCAGCTTACACACACAGACTTGAAACCTGAAAATATATTATTTGAGAATTCTGAATATGATATTGTGTATAATCAGAAAAAGGTAAGAATGAATTTATGTATAACATAAGATTTTATTAATAAAAAAAAGAGAAATATACCATCAATTTTTTTTTTTTTTAATACTAGAAACGAGATGTCCGTCAAGTGAAAAGCTCAAATATACGCTTGATAGATTTTGGGTCAGCAACTTTTGATCATGAGCATCACAGCACCATAGTTTCAACTAGGCATTATCGAGCACCTGAAGTTATTTTAGGTAATATTTTATAAAACATGGTAAATCGTATTTCTAAAATTGATTTTAATGCTGTTTTCCCCATCTGCATTAGTTTAAAACAATAATCTTCATATTTTTCCCACTTGTTTAAAAATAAATTCATTTATTTACATTCCTTTGACATAATAAAGCATGTGAGCTTGTTCAGTATGCTTAGGAAGAGTTATGTCTAAATGTGAATGTTCATCTGATATTCTGTAATAAGTTTGAATCATAATCATCATATTATATTTCAGTGTCGTGAAATTTAGGAGTTTTAAAAAAAAAGATTTCCATTTAATGCAATTTTTTTTAAGGGCAGGAACATATCATTTATTAAAATATTGGTTTTCATTTTTTGTTAACTGGGTGCCACTTAGTGAACTAGATGGTGTCAGCCCCACAAAATTTTATAAACTATATGACTTTTATCAAGTCCCGAATACGTTTAAAATATTTACCAAATTAATTTTAGATTACTCATAACACATAAATTGCCAATTTTATGTAACATTTCCAAATGCAAGCATGCATCATTTTGTGCAGTTGCTGCCCCATAAATTTGATACGGTAAGAATCTGTAGGAATCTAGTGCCATGCTAATTTTTTTTTGCCACTGTTTTGCACGTGTCATGAGAACATTTCTGTTTGTGCTTAACTTGCAGATGCTCGTATCTGGCTGCCTGTTCATCCACACACATGCACACAAAATTTGAAAACTAAAATGTGAGAATAAAGTTATAATGTTCTCAGTTTTACCATTGTTTGTAACAATGTCATGTCTAGCTGTTTATGACACAATAATTGGGCTTGTACATTGGTGAGTGTACTTCAAGGGGGAACATAGTAGGGTAAATAAAAGAAATTCATGTTTTTTTTTTTTTTGTTTTGTTCTTAATGCAGCTTAATTTAATCATTTAGATGTCTTTCTAGTTAGACTTTTTACAACATTTTGTAGTTTATTTTACTGAATGTTATTAATAAATAAGCTAAACTGCTGTGTTTCCATCTGCAGTCCTATGGATAAAATCTTTATTTTGGATTGGTTTTTTAGAAATAAACAGCATTTTAAACAAGATTTATGGCGTTATCGCGAGTTAATTTGCCAATTTTTATTATACATGAAAAAGTAACTTACTTTGTTGGTGATTTTGAATTTTAATTATTAAATAAAGATTTTTCACTGCTTTCCCCAAATATACAACGGTCTGTGACTACTTAAAAAATATTATGATGGCAAAATCAAAATATCAAAGTGATTCCCGTTTCTAGTGATTTAACGCAAAATGCCAAAACGAAATTAATAGTCTTTCTGGGTTAACACCTTTAGTCTAAAAAAAAGTATTTTTTAAATGTTTCTACTAGCCGTTAAACCCATGTTGGATAAATTATCTAAATATGTCTCCATATAATGATATCGAGTGTAGAGAATTTCAGACTTTGCATCATGCACACCTCAACCAATACCGGATATCTACTAATTGCGTCTCTTCATGTTCTCTTTAGAGATTTTGCAGAAAAACTATATATTACTGCAGAAATTTTACTGCATTTTCTTCCATTGCTGGCAGATCCCTAAAGGTGCATATTTTAAAATTATGTTCAATGCAAAATGTGTCAAGGTTTGTTTATAAAAACCATTGGAAATTAATACAACCTAAAAAACATGTATGAAACTGGCAACATTGCTTAACTGAAGGATTGCTATGAGCATGGTTATGTGAATGATTCCAAATTTGGCAACTTCTATTAAGGTAGATGCAATAACATGTAAGTACTAAATAGTAGGAAAGTTTTCAGTGGAATGTATCATCCATTTATTACTTGGAGAATTTTAAGAGTATTACCTTATAAACATCTCAAGTAGATATGCTCTGTGCTTTCTTAAAAAAGTGTGAGAATGCAGTGGCATACACCTTAAAGACATTGCTGCAATTTAATGATGAGAGGAATAGAAGTTAAAGAAAATTGCAAGCTTAATTTAACTAAGCAAATAATAGATTAAAAAATGTAATATTTGTATGTTGGAGCATAATTTATCTGTAAAAATTTAGTTGGAAAGAATATAGTAAACGTGCAGTATTTAGTATTTTAAGTACAAGATTAGTTTTAGTGTGAAATGTATTTTTGACATATTTGAATCGTGACATTTGTATTGCAGAACTTGGCTGGTCACAACCTTGTGATGTGTGGAGCATTGGCTGCATTCTGTTTGAATTGTATTTAGGAATAACTCTTTTCCAGGTATTTTTTTTACATAGCAGTTTGGTTTTTATTTTTATTCATTTATAATTTTTTTCCTTTTTACTTAATGTGTTGTACCTTTAATTTTAGACACATGATAACAGAGAACATCTTGCTATGATGGAAAGAATTTTAGGACCTCTTCCATACCGAATGTGCCGTAAAACTAAGTATGTTTTGTTTTAGTACTTCCATATTATTTAAATGTGTTAAATAAATTTTATATATTTGCATAGAATTTTTTAAATTTTTTTCTCTGAAGATATTCTTTTATATTTTAGGACAAAGTATTTTTATCATGGAAGATTAGACTGGGATCATAAGAGTTCGGCTGGCCGATATGTTAGAGAAAATTGCAAGTCACTGAAGGTATTCTTCAGCTCGTAAAATTAATCATTCGAAACTTAGGGACAAAATATGTTCTGTTTTGTTTGGATAGGTTATTGTATGCCCTTTAGAAATTTGTGTTAAACAAGTTCTGTGTATATAAAAGGATGCATATCAAAAAACGTGTTTCTAAATTTAACTTGTTATAGTAAATTTCTGCTTAACCAATCGCTTTTTGTCTAGAAAAAGCTAAATATGTTAATGGTGGAAATATGGTAAAATCATTATCACATGCAAGTAACAAAATCAGTAGATACAAAAATTGCGTAGAATAACACCAGTGGTATCGAAGAATTTGTGAGAAGTTAATTCTGCAGAATTGTGTGGAAATGTAGGCAACTGAATATTTTTCCTTGTTGTATTAAGTCTGTGTTTCTTTTAACTTACCTTGGATTAGCAGTGGATTTGATTTTATCCACAGTGTTGTGCCATTCAATTGGGAGTTAAATATCAAAAGGCAATGTTATAAATATTGAAGCTATTATTTTTCATTGATTCATTATGTATTTTATTTCAGATAATTTTCTTCAAATAAGTAAAATTTAGTGTGAATGATAAAGAAATAGTATTAATAAAAATGATATGCTAGATGGCTGGTAAAAGACTTCATAACTTCGCAGCTATGCAGTCTTTCACTAACCCTCTTGAGAGGTACACCAGCCTTTATCTGAAGGTTGTTACCACTTGCTATATATTGCTTGAGTTTTGTTGTCACTTGAGGTATATTTAAAATATCATTTGGGCTGTTATGAAAATATAAATAGAAGGTTATAGAAACAAGCTTGTACTAATCTAGCTGGTAAAAGATTGTAATGCAGCTGATCTCGAAACTGATCTCAAAGTCTCAAAAGTTTTGAGTAGACCTCAAAAGAAAAAAAGTAAAGTAGAAAAGTTAATGATATTTGGTTGAATTATATTATACAAATTCTGTAATTACAGCAAGTGAGTAAGATTTTTTAAGTTTTTATTTTGTAAGCTTTATTTATGTATCTTATAATTTTAGATATTATACGACCCCATTAATCTGATTTCTGTCTGGTATTTTGAATTCTCTATTGTCTTACTTTTGAAAAGATTATTCTCGAGACATAAACATAATTATGAATATGAATTCTTAAAAATACTTGTTTAATAAATTATGGGATATAAGTTTTCAGAAGTTTTATCAAAATTTTTGTAATTCTGTTCACAGAGATACATACCTGCAGATGATGAAGACCATAGGCATCTGTATGAACTTGTGTCCAGGATGTTGGAATATGAACCATCTCAGCGAATAACATTAAAAGAAGCTCTGGATCATCCATTCTTTGCCAAACTCCCATCAGAACTGAAATTACATGAACTAGAAAAATCTGCAGATCGGGAAAGATCTCATAGTCTAAGCAGATGACTAACCGCCGAGTAAATCGACTTTCTGACTCATATAAATTCTTATGAATTTTAAGTATTTTTTTATCATTGGCTATATGAATTAGCTTAACAAGTTGCCAGTTTCCTTGATGATTAGTTGTCAAGATAATCAAATTGTGATGGCTGTCTGGCTAATGTAAAACATGATGGCGAATACCTGCTGAATGCAGACCAGCTTTTTTTTTTTTCCCTTTAAAAAAGTTCTTCAGAACTGGTTTTAAAGATGGGATACCATTTTGTAGTATATGTAAATATTTTGTTAATACATGTATAGAATTTGTATATAAGGTTATCTTTATATATTTAATATTGAAGATTTTTCTTTCTCATTTTGCAATACTCAATTCATACTTGGCCATAATTCATTTAAATTGTTTTGATGAAAAAATTATAATTCCATGTACACTTATAAACTGGTACTCTACCTGAACAAAAAGTTTAGTTTGAGTAAGAAATAAAGAAATTCTGAAAATGTGTTCATTATTTTTTCCTCTTAAAAATGTCTGTGTTATTCTTAAAGGTAAGGTCCATTTGCAATGGAAATAAAGTATTTATGAATTTGCATACGATTCTAAGTTTTTCTATGTAATTATTTTATCCGTTGAATCGACACTATTTCATCACGTAACCTGTAGCTTGTTTTAGAGTTTATGACAAAACATCCAAATAAAGTTAACAACTGCAGTATTTTTTTTTTTTTTTTTTTCAAGCACTGAGAATTTCCTGGTGCAATCTTTCTTGCTTGCCTTTTATACCAGGTGCAGCTTCAGTGTGAATACTAGCTTTGGCAGAAGACTTATTTCCTTGAAAATTTTTGCTTTTAGTGCTTTTTTTTTAAATGAACGCATTTTTCTCAGAACCAAAGCCGAAACTAAATAAACAATTTTTCTTCCTAATATGGAATGTCAGATGGTGAATCATACTCCCGGAAATAGCTTTTCCCCCTTTCTCTGCATTAACATAACCTTTGGTGTGTGCGGAGAGTACAGACGGGTGTTCGTCGTTCTGTTGGTCAAAGAATTGCGAAAGCAGTAGAAAAATTCCAGTACATTCGGCATTCTTTTCCTCCCACTCAAATACTACACATGTTTGAATTTCTATCAAGATCTTAGAAGATAATTTGCTTTCTCGTACCGCTTTGTCAGTTCATATTCATTTCTATTATGATCGTTATGCATATATTATGAGTATATGTATGAATGTTTATAATAACATAGTTGCAGTAACTGAAGTATAGTAAACTTCCAAAAATTGTTGTGTTTTAACACAGATTACCTTTCTAATTAATAATATTCGGAATGGCTTAAATAAAGGGAAAGTAATTGAATAGTCAAAATAATTTCATTTTTTGGCCAATACATTATACAGTACGAAGGTTGGAAGGTTCTCCCCTTTCTCCACAAAATCTCGAATATTGAAACTGTTATAGTTCACTGCAAACCAAGCAACGGACCTTTTTTTTTTTTTTTTTTTTGTCACTTTCCAATCTGGATTGAATAGGACTAAAAGTTCTGCAGTCTACCAAACCAAGCGAAGAATGATTCTATTCTGGAAATTTAACGTAATCTGTTGAAAATTAAAATGAAAAACACCCCAGATTGTTAAGTCCCTTTTCATTTTCCTTTATTTAGTTCTTTATTCTCCCAATGCCGCCAGCTGTTGAATCCGATTGCGTGATATCATGTAGGGAAGAATTACGGAGCACATTTTGCGCAATAACATTTGCGATATTTTGCAGAGATAATTAATTTTGAATTTTGATGTTCGGTCCGAGATTTGTTTATGAACACTTAAAAGAGTTTTACTGTGCTTGCTAAGCAGAATATTTTTCTGTTCCGTTAGTTTTTTTTTTTTATATGTTGCACATATTGAAATGTCAAAAGCATTTATTTAGTGGAAAAATCTAAAGAACGGCTACAGTCCTTCCCCTCCGCTCCCCTTTTTCAAGTTGCGCTCGACTGTCCGAATATTCACCAATTTTCAAGTATGCGGATAGTTAAGCTTTTATTGTTAAAGGATGACTGCATGAAACAAATTTCTGTCTTCTGATTTCAGAAATGTTCCTCTTTTTTACTTAAATTACTTTGCTTGCAATATCTGTTAAGGGAAAACTGATATACGATGAAAATTTAGAAAATGTTTAGAATTTAGATTTAAATTAGTTAAATATCAATATGAGTGGAAAAATAAATTGTATTTATTATCGAGTTTCAAGCAAATAGAATAAATATGCCTTATTATTATTTATTTCCTCTATTTTGAACTGAAATTTCATCATTAAATCTTGTAATATAGTTTAGCTCTGCATAGTTTTTTTTTGCTCTCATTGTAAACTAGTTCTGTAAATTGAACTGTTATTTAAAATTTTAAAAAAAAGTAATTATTTTCCATGGTTGAGGTAATGCTTATTCTCTCTTAATAAATACTGCATTTCTCATATTTTAAATTACGAGTCTGATTTTTGAAGTTATGCAGATGTGTATAATGTAATTAGACGTGCTTATTTTTTTCTTAAAATGTGTTTGAAAAGTGCTTATAGGTGCTTATTTTTTTAACTAAAATCAGGGTTTGTACATCCTTAAAAGTCCTTAATTTTTTCAGAAATGATTTTTGGTCCTTAATTTTGGCCAAAATGAATAAATGGTCCTTAATTTTGCTCATTTGACACTTTTTATCATTTCTAATGATTGCCAATCTAAGTGTGAATTAAGATTTCTCATGAATATGGAATTAAAATTACACAGCTCTTAACCCAACCTGTTGGCTGATTTGCATTGCAAATGATAAAAAAACAATTAGCTACTCTAGGACGAAAGTATCAGGTGTCTGATTGGCTATTCACGCAATCTTTTGAAACAGGTGTTGTCCATAAATTTACGCAGGTTGTGATGAAAGCGTGAGGCCAGAATTTCTTTAAGGGGCGAAAGTGATGATGAAGGTGCTCGTAAAATAAAAAGAGTGGTGGGGATTCTGAAAATATTTGCCAAAATTAGAACAATCGTAATCTGGAAGGCCACAACCACTCCAACATCAATAGGAATGAGATGCCTGGAAAGTTCATTTTCAATAAACTGTGTCTTCATCAAGATGACTAGAAAGACTGGATATTGATGGATGATAATCCTTATAAAACTAAATGTGGTCTTTGTCTCAAACAAATTGATATTTCTAGAATGGGAGAGTCAGTGCTCAAAATTCACATGAAAAGTAAGTTTCATTTTATCATTTCAATTTGTTTTACATGGTTTTGTTTAGCTTAACTTCTGTGTTTGTTTGATTTAAGCCATAAATTAATTTTTGATTACCTTCTACAGAGTTTATTGTCTTTTGCACATATATATGTATGGGATATCAGGATTCTGAGTTTATTTCTGCAGAGGGTCTGTTATCAATTTTCGCGGGAAATCTGTTGGCTCCATTTCGATTTTAGAGTCACCAAGGGCAAATTCGGTAACGCTAGCCGAAGAAAAAGTGAAGTTCGGAAATACGTTTTGAAGCTTCAATAGACAATTAAGTATTTGTTTAAACCTATGTTTGTTGATAGTAATGCATAATTTTGCTAATGGCAATACAATTATTAGTTGAAAATAACTAACTAATTAAAAAATTTTTTAATATTTTTAAAGCTGAAAACAACTAATTGAAACTAATTTTCCTGAATTAACTAGATGCAAAATTAACTTTCATGAATTACTAAAGTTATTGGGTAGAAGTTTAACTGAAAATATACATTCCGTATTATATATATATATATTTAAACAGTACAAAGTCTGAGGTCTGGACTCGTCGGGACTTCGGCGATCCCAGATTTGAGATTTTTCTGGATATTAGATCATTTTAAATCTACTAAGATGGCACATAGAAATTATAAAATTGAAAATATGAAATCGTGATTTATGAAATAATGAAGCATTTATGATTTAAAGGGTATCAAAATTTACAAAAAAGAAAAGAGCTTAATATTTATATGTTTACTTTATTAAACATTTTTTTCAGTGTGTGTTGTTTGATTTGTTTTCTCTGCTAATACTTTATACTAATACTATAGACATATAATTTCTTGTTCAGTTATTAAGTTCCATTGTTCAAGTCCTGTAATTGCTGTGTCGAGAATTCTGAATAACTTGTCAAATCAAAATTTTTTCTCGTTCAGTAACCTCTCTGTTACTTTCTTCTCTTTTGGTAGCTGTATTTTCTGGATTTAGAACCATACTACTGATTTCGCTCTCCGTTAATTGATTGATGATTGGGCATTGTCATCACAATGAAAAACTTCGCTAAATTCTGCCGCATGGCCGAGATCTGGCGCTGGTTCTGGCTTTATGTGAATAACAAATCAGTTTTTCTTAATTCAAATAGCACTAAATATCATGGAGGTAGGAAAGGGAGGAGGGGCCAACCCGCACTAAAAGTGAAGCACTGCTTTGAAGCTTGGGTCACCAGATGGGGTGTTCTTTGCTTACATTCAGAAGCTCGCTTGACAAGATTCTGATAGTATTTCGACACACGACAGTTTCATACAAATCGAAAAAGGGACACTTTCGCATGAAAGAAACATTCATAGTGTGATGGATAATAGCAATTTGTATAGTTTAGTGACATTTACGCAAAAATCACATCTTGGTTATTTTTTCGATAACAAACAACAGCGATTTGATTAATATGAATTTGTTTTATAAAATATAAGCTGTTGCGTACAAAATATAGATTTTAAGAAAATGTTATGCTTAAAGAATGAAAATACCTTACGGTACATTTAAAATGTATACGTCTTTCGATACCCTTGATAAGTGTTCGCTACTTTTATTTTATTTCCAAACGTCAAAATGTTTTAAATAAAACAAATTTTTTTCACATCCATGTATTATTGTAACATGTACCTTTTAAAAATTTTTTTAGAGGAGAGGCTTTACTGCTGCTCATTTTAAACCCATCGTTTTAATTTTATATATCTGAAAAATAATCACTTTTGGCTTACACGTTTTATAATATAAAATTATGTATGTTAAATATTTGTAATTAGGCACATAGGTCAGATTAAGTTTTATTAAATAGAGTAACGCTGCAAGGGCTATCTGCCTAAAGAGAGAGATGCCATCAAACGGAGGAATTTTTGAAGAAACTGACCTTTGAGTGGGTATTAAAATAATACTTACAATTTTCATTCAAATTATATTCATATATATTTTTATGTAAAACTTCGGGTGTATGCTAAATTAAGTGTAAATTACTTTACACAAAATATAGTGATGCACAGAAATTAAGATTTGCACTCCGGAAATGAAAAATAGGAATATTTATGTGTATTTATGCACGTGCTTGCAAAAAGCATGCATCTGCCTTTGACAAAATACTTAAATTCATTAAATTATTTATAAATGTATTTGAAATGAAGAATTTATTCACGTATAAACAACTGTGAAAGTACTGTGAAGAATCTAATTATTAAATGTATCTAATTTATAATGATTATAAA